ATTTTGTTCTACATTTTTCTCCAGCTCTGTCCAGGACCCTCTCTTGTAATCCCTGTCAGAGCAGTCAGTGGTGGTAGCCGGGCATCATCTAGTACTGACTCAGTCTGGTGGAGGCTGTGGTAGTTATGTCTTTGGTTTTCTTCATTTTCCCTTGCTCCAGATGGGGTGAGACCAGCAGAGTGTCTTAGATGTCACTTTCAAGCTTTTAAGACCCCAGACGCTGCTCACCAAAGTAGAATGTAGAACATTTTCTTTATAGACTGTGTTGTACTAATTGAGCTAGGTGTTCCCCAAGACATGGTCCCCACAGTCCTCAGCCCAGTAATTTGGTCCCTCAGGGAGTTTGTATGTGCCTGTGGACCTTCCATGACCTTGCCTTGGACAAATTGTGCTGACTTCCCCAGTATTATGTACTGTCTTCCCCTTCACCAGAGTAACCATTTATCTATTGTCTATTTAGTATTTTTCCATCCCCACCCCTCTCCTCCCTTGTAACCATCAAAGATTGTTTCTTTTTGTGTGTAAACCTTTTCATGACTTTTTATAGTAGTGGTCTCATACAATATTTGTCCTTTTATGATTGACTTATTTCACTCAGTATAATGTCCTCCAGTTCATCCATGTTATGAGATGCTTCACAGCTTCATCATTGCTCTTTATTGTTGCGTAGTACTCCATTGTGTGTATGTGCCATGGTTTGTTTATCCATTCATCTGTTGATGGACATCTATGTTGTTTCTAGCGTTTTGCTATTGTGAACAATGGTGCAGTGAACATGGGTGTGCATATGTCTATTAGTGTGATGGCTCTTATTTCTGTAGGCTGTATTCTAAGGAGTGGGATTGCTGGATCATATGGTATTTCTATTTCTAGCTTTCTAAGGAAGCGCCATATCTTTTTCCAAAATGGTTGTACCATTTTGCATTCCCACCAGCAGTCCAAACCATGGTATTTTCAGTTGCCTCATATGCATGTGAAAGCTGAACAGTGAATAAGGAAGACTGAAGAAGAACTGATGCATTATATTTTTTATTTTATTGTTGTACTTTAAGTGAAAGTTTACAGTTCAAGTTAGTCTCTCATACAAAAATTTATACATACATTGTTATGTGACTTTAATTGCTCTCCCTATACTATGGTAGTACACTTCTCCTTTCCACCCTTGATTTCTTGTGTCCATTCAACCAGCTCCTGACCCTCTCTGCCTTCTCATCTTACCTCTGGACAGGAGCTGCCCATTTAGTCTCATGTATCTACTTGAGCTAAGAAGCACGCTCTTCATGAGTATCATTTTTTGTTCCATAGTGCAGTCTAATCTTTGTCTGAAGAGTTGGCCTCAGGAGTGGTTTTAGTTCTGGGTTGACAGAGAGTCCGGGGGCCATTGTTTCTGGGGTTCTTCCAGTCTCAGTCAGACCATTAAGTTTGGTCTTTTTAGTAGAATTTGAGTTCTGCACCCCACTTTTCTCGTGCCCCATCAGAGACTCTCTGTTGTGTTCCCTGTCAGGGTGGTCATTGGTGGTAGGTGGGCACCATCTAGTTCTTCTGGTCTCAGGCAGATGAAGTCTGTGGTTTATGTGGCCCTTTCTGTCTCTTGGTCTAATACTTTCCGTGTGTCTTTGGGGTTCTTCATTCTCCTTTGCTCCATGTGGGTTGGGGCCAATTGATTCATCTTAGATGGCCGCTTGCTAGCTTTTAAGACCCCAGACACCACTCACCAAAGTAGGATGCAGAACATTTTTTAAATAAACTTTGTTATGCCAGTTGACCTAGATGTCCCCTGAAACCATGGACCCCAGATTGCCGCCCCTGCTACTCTGTCCCTCGAAGTGCTTGATTGTATTCAGGAAACTTCTTAGCTTTGGTTTAGTCCAGTTGTGCTGACTTCCCCTGTAGTGTGTGCTGTCCTTTCCTTCACCTAAGATAATTCTTGTCTACTGTCTAGTTAGTAAATAACCCTCATCCTCCCTCCCCACCCTCGTAACCATCAAAGAATGTTTTATTCTGTGTTTGAACCTTTTCTTGAGGTCTTGTAATAGTGGTCTTCTACAACATTTGTCTTTCTGTGACTGACTAAATTCACTCAGCATAATGCCCTCCAGATTCTTCCATGTTATAAGATGTTTCACAGCTTCATTGTTGTTCTTTATCATTGTGTAGTATTCCATTTTGTGGATATACCATAATTTGTTTATCCATTCGTCCGTCGATGGGCACCTAGGTTGTTTCCATCTTTTTGCTATCGTGAACAGTGCTGCAGTGGACATGGGTGTGCACATATCTATTTGTGTGACGACTCTTATTTCTCTAGGATATATTCCAAGGAGTGGGATTGCTAAATCGTATGGTACTTCTATTTGTAGCTTTTTAAGGAAGTGCCAAATCAATTTCCAGAGAGGTTGTACCTTTTACGTTCATGCCAACAGGGTGTAAGTGTTCCAGTCTCTCCACAACTTCTCCAACATTTATTGTTTGGTATTTTTTTGATTAATGCTAACCTTGTTGGGGTGAGATGGTATCTCATTGTACTTTTGTTTTGCATTTCTCTAATGGCTAATAAGCATGAGTATTTCTTCATGTGTCTATTAGCTGCCTGAATGTCTTCTTTGGCAAAGTACATGTTCATATCCTTTGCCCATTTTTTAATTGGGTTAATTGTCTTTTTGTTGTTGAGGTTTGCAGTTATCATGTAGATTTTAGAGATTAAATTCTGATCAGATTTGTTGTAGCCAAAAATTTTTTCCCAGTCTGTAGGTTTTCTTTTTACTTGTTTTGTGAAGTCTTTTGATGAGCATAAGTGTTTGATTTTTAGGAGCTCCCAGTTTTCTGGTTTCTCTTCTGGTGTTTGTACATTGTTACTTATGGTTCGTATTCTGTCTATGCCATGTATTAGGGCTTCTAGCATTGTCCCTATTTGAATCAATGCATTTGAATTATGGTGTTGGTGAAGAATATTAAATATGCCATGGACTGCCAGAAGAATGAACAAATCTGTTTTGGAAGAAGTACAGCCAGAATGCTCCTTTGAAGCGAGAGGAGTGAGACTTTGTTTCACATAGTTTGGACATGTTATCAGGAGGTACCAGTCCCTGGAGAAGGACATCATGCTTGGTAAAGTAGAGGGTCATTGAAAAAGAGGAAGACTTAATACTTCAATGAAATTGATTGACACAGTGGCTGCAACAATAGGCTCAAACATAGTAACGATTGTGAGGATGGCACAGGACTGGGCAGCGTTTTGTTCTGTTGTGCGTGGGGTCGCTATTAGTTGGAACCAACTTGAGGCTACGTAACAACAACAACAACAACAATGAGCTCCCAGGAGCCCAGGTGGCGCAGTGGTTAAATGTTCAGCTGCTCACTGAAAGGTCAGCAGTTTGAACCCACTAGTTGCTCCTAGGAGAACGATGTGGCAGTCTGCTTACATAAAGATTACAGCCTTGGAAATCCTACCGGGCAGTTGTACTGTTGTATAGGGTCACTATGAGTCGGAATTGACTCAATGGCAATGTGTTTGTTTGTTTTTGGTTTTTAATGAACTAACAAAGAGCCCTGGTGTCACAGTGGTCAGCGATGGCTGCTAACCAAAAGGTTGGTAGTTCAAACCCACCCGGCGGCTGCACGGGAGAAAGACCTGGTGATTTGCTCCTGTAAAGATTATAGTCTAGAAAACCCTACGGGGCAGTTCTACTCTGCCCCATGGGTCGCTCTGAGTCGAAATCGGCTCTGTGGGCACCACAGCAACAATGAACTACCACGTAATGAACTATCTACCAAGGTAATAAGGTCACATTTCTCCCAAGGTACCTCTTGCTTTGTTTTGATACTTAGATTCTTTAAAACATTAAGTACTATTTTTTCTAATTACTGGATAAAGAAGTTACCAAGTACCTTCTGTATATTTGCTTTTTACTCTGTTCTTGCTGATACTCTCTTTTCCCACCGTTATCCACTCATACTTCCCTTTAGTTTAAAGATATTTTTATGAGGAGAGCATGTCTGTGGGAAAATGCATTTTATTTTCTGTGCATATGAAATGTATAGCCCCACCCACAGAGTTTGTTTGGATAAATATGAGTAGAAGCTATGGAAGATTTGCTTACGTACAAGTAAAAGGTTTGATTACATACAAGTGAAAAGGTACACTGGTTTTATAAGGCTTTACAAGTTCCCTTGGCATTTCCCACCCTCTTCTCCCAAATTTTTTCTTTCTTAAAGACAATTACTTTCAACTATTCATTGTCGTTTGGCATTTACCTTCATATTTCCTAAAACATGGTTTTTGGTCTTGTGAAAGATGAAGATTTAGCTCTTTCATCCAATTTCCTACCCCGATCACATAGTCCCACATGTCTTCCAACTGTGGTGTGATGGTTTTGGTTAAGCCATTATTCAGTGATAATTTTACTATGATCATGTAACCTCTAGTCCTAGCTGAACATGTGGTAGTATTCTCCGCTTTAAGTAATTTTAAAAAATAGCAAATCTTATCAAAGATGGAACAAATTGCAGAGGGTGCTACTGATAATTTACTGTCTCTAAACATACTTAATAACCACCAATATCTCTAACTGATGAAATGCACAATTCTTTCACATATATAATCTCATCTGTCTAATGAGATAGAAGATGTGGGGAAGTATTCATGCATCAGATGTGTGGTTAGTCCTTTTGGTGCCACAGAATATTTTCTAGGGGAAAAGACTAATGTATTAATACTAATGTCCGATTTAGTATTAAAATAATTGAATTGTAATCAGAAGGCTAGGAAAAATATTTTATACTTCAATCTTCCATTTGTGCTTTTGCTTAAATGTTTTTGAGTTGGATTAAGTTGCAGTTATTTCATGTAGTAATGAATGTTATGTAGTTATTCTCTTAGCCTCAGGAATGCATGCATCCCGCCCCCCTTAGAATATAAAGAAAATAGTGGATGACCTATTTTAAACCATCTCCATTAATATAGTGGCTTTCAAATAGGTTAGTTTGAATGGTTATAATGTATAATCAATTTTAATGTCAAAGATACCCTTAATTATATCATTAAAATTACATTTTTAGATACTTGTCACAATGCTTGAGGAGCCCTGGTGGTGCGGTGGTTAAAGTGCTCAGCTACTAACTGAAAGGTCAGAGGTTTGAACCCACCAGCCACTCCGTGGGAGAAAGATGTGAAGATTTACAGCCTTGGAAACCCTATGGGGCAGTTCTATTCTGTCCTGTAGGGGCGCTATGAGTCGGAATGGACTTGATGACAGGGGGTTTGGATTTTTGGTCTCGCAATGCTAACTCCCTATTCTATTTTGAGTTTTTGAACCCTTGATTCATTGTTAAAAATTGGTGGCAAATTTATTCATTGTTCGATATAAACTAGCTCTGTTGTTATGAGTTGCCAACCAGTTGATCCCGACTCATGGTGACCCCATGTATGTGGAGTAGAACTGTGCTCCATGGGGTTTTCAAGGCTATGACCTTTTGGAAGCAGAGCACCTGGCCTGCCTTCTGCAGTGCCTCTGGGTGAATTTGAACTGCCAACCTTTTAGCTAGTATTTGAGTGCTTAACTCTGCCACCCAGGGACTCCTAAACTTGCTCTAATGAACAGGACTATTAGGAAAGAATCAATGAGTGGTTAGCACCTGTTTTAGGAATACTTGCTCCCTAGGGAGAGGCATTATGTGTTTATTGATAATATTGACTTACCAGGGTAAATATCCAATTTAATATGGTTATTTCCCCAATTCATTCTCTTATCATTTTATTCTTTATTCAGAGATTCTACCCCTATCCTTATGAATATATAGAAATGATTTTTACCTTTTTTTCCTGTTGCCTGTTTTAGGATAGCAATCCTATATTTGAAAGATACGGGTTTTGTTTGAAATAATAATTTAAAAAACTAATATTCAGAATTCTCACCTATACTTGTTAATGTATCTTTACCTTTTAGAAGTTGATGATATTTTTAAATTATGCTAATTTTCCTGAACTATCTCCTTTTAAACTTAGATAATATAGATATCAGTAGGAAAACTTGCCGAAAGAAGAAATTTTTCAAGAGAAATTTGAAAATAGTAAAAGAGAAGGTATTTGGCAGCAGATGCGGAAGACAGCATAGAAGTAAGTACTTCATGGAAGAAAAGGAGCATGTATAGAACAAATTTGAGTCCAGAAAATAGAATTGAATTAAAATATGAGTTGAAAAAAGACATAGATTTTTTAAGTTTTAAAGATATTTGAATTTCTAAGTTGTGTAAAGAAATATAAATTGTAAGCATTAATAATATGTATACTTAGAAGGCATATTAAGTAGTCCTAATAGATATCTTCTAGTAGAACAACATATATGTTGTTAGGTGCTGTTGAGTTAATTTCAACTCATAGTGACCTCATGTGACGGAGTAGAACTACCCCATAAGGTTTCTAGGCTGTAATCTTCAGGGGAGCAGATCTCCAGATCTTTCTCCCATGGAGGTGCTGGGTGGGTTTGAACCGCCAGCCTTTTGGTTAGCAGCTAAGCACTTTAGTGTTGTGTCACCATAGTAGGTATATGTTTTGGATGTCTCACTCCCATGTTAATGGTATTAAATAACTATATGAATATACTCTAGGTAGAGAACAATAAAATGCCTAATTTAAATAATCAATTGGATAATGTTTGAGAATTTATTTTAGAACCCTTAAAAATGGTAGTTTAATATATTCTGGTAAATCTCTGTAAAACTTCAAATACTTAGTATTGCATTTCTCAGGTATCTTTCATATCTTTTGCAAGGATCAAAAATCACTAATAGTATTATCAAATCAATGTCAGTGTTGGTCATCTCCCTCAAATTTTTATTAGAAATAGTAAAGTACTAGCAAAACCCAAATAATATAAATAATCCCTTACTTTTTTTTATTTTTGCAGATTTTACTTCATTCATTGAACAGATTCATTCAACCAAACTTTCTTGAACATCGACTGTGAGCTCGGTTTTGTGCTAGGTAATAGAACACAGCAGTGAACAAAATAGACAAGATTTCTTGCTCATATACAGCTTCTGCTGATGATGTCTTCTAGCTTCAGTATATTTAGAGTTGGATTCTCTTTTGTCATGATGTGCATTTTTAATAAGTCAACAGTAGTCACTCTACCTGAACTGAGTCCTCAGAAATATTTTAGTACATTGCAGTCAGGAAAAGCTTCTTTAGCTTATTTTTGTCAAGCTGGTAAGTATTTTTTAAATTCTAATGTGATCCTTGTGATATTTGTATTGCTATTTAATCAGTATGCTCAGTGGGAACTTATTGTTGGTATGAATAATATGTACTATAAAGCTGCTACTATAATATTCTGCGTGGGTCAGAATCCTGACTCTACCACTTGACTTGCTCTGTGGCCTTAGTCAAGGAATTTAACTTCTCTTTGTCTCTGTTTTGTCATCTATTATCAGGAAATAGTACTTACTGTGTAAGATTGTTGTGAGGATTAAATGAGTTTACTTGTATAGCTGGTCCTGGTAAGTACTTGATAAGAATTAACTATTAATAAGATAACAACATCTGCATTTTATCTAGTTATTTCTGAAAGTATACTTTGTCCTATTTTTACCATATAAATATTTCAAAACAGTTATTATTTTTTTTTTTACTTTAAATGTATTAGTAGTAATGCTTAAGTTTAACACTCTGCTTTGGATGTAGCACCTTTGGATGTAGCACTAATTACATTGAATTAACTAATATAACTATTGGATAAAACTAATAATTGTAATGGCCCCATTAAGTCTTCATGCCTTAAAAATATTATTCTTGGAATTAATAAGTGAAGTGAATCCATGTTTCTACTAGCTACCTTATTATAATTATAATTTTAAAATTGTAGTTTAAAATAATTTTGAAAGTTCTGTGTATGTATATGTATGTTGTGTATATAGTGTTAAATTTGGAAGAATAATGCCAAATGTTAGGTTTAAATGAAAGATTTATCCTACTCTTGTTTGAGAAAGTTTTTAAGGTAGCTTACAAAATTAAAAATGTCATGATAAAAACATTAGAAATAAGAACAGCGGGGCAATAGGAAAATATGGGTATGAAAATATGTAATTAGGTGTGTTTAAATTACTGGATTTTTTGTTGTTGCTTTTCAATTGGGCAAACTAATACATATCTTCTTCAGTGTTTACAGTTTTTCCCTTCAATTTTAAAAATTCATTTTTTTCCTAAGCGGCACTTATGAGCATTCAGGAATATTTTCTTATTTTAGATTCTCCAGGTACCTCTGTATTTCTTGAAGAACTGAAAGAAGCTGTTAAACCTCTCCAAGATTATGGAATTTCAGTTACAAAGGTAGAAAGATATTTATGTTAATAATATACTGTTGACATTTTACAACTCTATAACTTCAGAATGAGTATTTGAAAATATTTGTTTATATTGTTTTACAACTTTTTCCAGACGGAAAAATGTTAGTTTTTCCTTTTTTTTTTTTTAAATTGTGCTTAGATGAAGGTTTACAGAGCAAATTAGTTTCTCATTAAACAATTAATACACATATTGTTTTGTGACGTTGGTTGCCAACCCCGAGACGTGTCAACGCTCTCCCCTTTTTGACCTTGGGTTCCCCATTTCCGTTCATCCAGCTTTCCTATTCCCTCCTGCTTTCTCGCCCTTGCCCCTGGGCTGGTGTGCCCTGTTAGTCTCCTATACATGATTGAGCTAAGTGTATTATTGTTTGTTTTATGGGCCTGTCTAATCTTGGGCTGAAGAGTGAACCTCAGGAGTGACTTCAGTACTGAGTTAAAAGGGTATCGGGGGACATACACTTGAAGTTCTCCGGTCTCCATCAGACATGTAAGTCTGGTCTTTTTTTGTGAGTTTGAATTTTGTTCTACATTTTTCTCTAGCTCTGTCTGAGAACCTCTATTGTGATCCCTGTCAGAGCAGTTGGTGGCAGTAGCTGGGCACCATCTACTTGTGCTGGACTCAGTCTGGTGGAGGCTGTGGTAGTTCTGGTCCATTAGCGTTTTGGACTACTCTTTCCCTTATGTCTTTGGTTTTCTTCATTCTCCCTTGCTCCAGATGAAGTGGGACAAGTGGAGTATCTTAGATTGCTGCTCACAAGCTTTTAAGATTCTGGATGCTACTCACCAAAGTACAATGTAGAACATTTTCTTTATAAACTATGTTATGCCAATTGATCTAGACGTCCCCCGAGATGATGGTCCCCAGCCCTCAGCCTGGTAATTCGGTCCGTTAGGGAGTTTGGTTGTGTCTATGAAGCTTCTGTGACTTTACCTTGGTCAAGTTGTGCTGACTTCCCCAGTATTGTGTACTGTTTACCTTTCTTTTTAAGAAGAAGAAACAGAAACACAAAAACAGTTTCAGATCATTGTGTAAATTAGTACATATCAAGAAAAAAAGCTGTTTAAAATTCTTTAGCTTAGAATTTAATTTTATTTTGTAAATCATGCTATTGGAGCTATTATATCGTTTTTTAAATCTATAGTTAGTTTTTTGTTTAACCTAACTTATGTATCATAATGGATATCTACAATTTCAACTATTGTTGAATTTCTTTTAGCACAAACAGGAAACAATGTTGTGGTAATTAATCATTTTTTTTCTTTCCTATTCTTATAAGTCCCCATAATTGCTTGTGTTGCAGTTTCTCACATTATTTTTAGAGCAAATTTAAAACAACCCAACTTGAAATTACATATTTAATTTTTTTCTCAAAAGAAGTTCAAACTTGTCTTGGAGTATTAAGGAAAACTTCCACACACGTCGTGGATTGGATAGCTACATGAGCCTTTCGTTTAGTTTAAACTTGGAATTTTCACTTCAGAAAATTGAATGATAAATACTCAATTACAATAAATTTTTTCAAATTAGTGTCTACCTGACTTTCTGTGTACATTTATTCTTTCTTAGTTCATCAGCCTTCCTTCTTTGAGAGATGGCTACTGTCGCTCTTGGTCCCTGCAGTGAAATAACCTTGGCTGTGTGCAGTATATATGTGTATATATGTATTTGTTTACGTGTCAGTTCTATACATATAAAACGTTTCAGTTAACTAGGAACAACTGTTGGATAGCACTCATGTCTGAGGTGCTTTGAATAAAGTTTTAAACTGAAATTTAGTGGAAATAGTGGAAAATCAAATACATGGAAACTGAATAACACCTTGCTTAAAAACCACCAGGTAATAGAGGAAATCAAAGATAGAATAAAAAAATTCCTAGAATCAAACGAGAATGAAAGCACATTGTACCAAAACCTCAGTGCTCAGAGGTCAGTTTATAGCAGTAGATGCACACATCAAAACAGAAGAAAGGGTCAAAACCAAAGCATCAGCTATACAACTTGCACAAATAGAAAGAGAACAGAAGAGAAGCCCAAAGCCACCAGAAGAAAGGAAAGAATAAAGATCAGAGCAGGAATAAATGAAATAGAGAATAGAAAAACAATAGAAAGAATCAACCAAATCAAAACTTGGTTCTTTGAAGGGATCAACAAAATCGAAAAACCATTGGCTGAATTGACAAAAGAAAAACAGGAGAGGAAGCAAATAACTCGAATAAGAAGTGAAATGGGAGACATTACAATAGACCCAACTGAAATAAAAAGAATCATAACAGAGTACTGTGAAAAACTGTACCCCAACAAACCTGAAAACCTAGAAGAAATGGGCGAATTTCTAGAAACACACTACCTACCTAAACTAATACAAACTGAGGTAAAAAATCTGAACAGACCCATGACAAGAGAAGAGATTGAAAATCTAATACTAAAGCTCCCAACCAAAAAAAAAAGTCCTGGCCCAGATTGCTTCACTGGAGAATTCTACCAAACATTAGAGAAGAGCTCACACCAGTATTACTCAAACTATTTCAGAACATAGAAAAGGAAGGGATACTTCCGAATTTATTTATGAAACCAGCATAACCCTGATACCAAAACTAGGCAAGGATACCACAAAAAAATAAAGTTACAGACCAGTATATTTCATGAATATAGATGCAAAAATTCTCAACAAAATTGTAGCCAGTAGAATTCAGCATCATATCAAAAAAATAATACACCATGGCCAAGTGAGATTCATACCAGGTGTAAGAGGATGGTTCAGCATTGGAAAATCAATCAATGTAATCTACCACATAAATAAAACAACAACAACAAAAGAATCACATGATCATCTCAATCAGTACAGAAAAGGCATTTGATAAAGTCCAACACCCATTCCTGATAAGAACTTTCAATAAAATAGAAATAGAAGGAAAATTTGTCAACATAATGAAGGACATCTATATAAAACCAATAGCTAACATCATTCTCAATGGAGAGAAGCTGAAAACATAACCCCTGAGAACAGGAGCAAGGCAAGGATGCCCTTTATCACTACTCCTATTTAACACTGTGCAGGAAATCCTAGCTAGAGCAATAAGGCAAGAAAAAGAAATAAAGGGCATCCAAATTGCTAAGGAAGAAGTAAAACTATCCCTATTCGCAGATGGTAGAGAACTCAAAAGATTCCACAAGAAAACTACTGGAACTAATAGAAAGATTCAGCAGAGTAGCAGGATATAAGATAAACATACAAAAATCAATTGGATTCCTATACACCAATAAAAAGAACTAAGAAAAGGAAACCAGGAAAGCAATACCATTTGTGTAGCCCTGGTAAAAATAAAATACTTAGGAATAAATCTAACCAGGGACGTAAAAGACCTATACAGAGGAAAAACTACAAAACACTACTGCAAGAGACTAAAAGAGACCTACGTAAATGGAAAAACATACCATGATCATGGATAGGTAGACTCAACATTGTGAAAATTTCAGTATTACCCAAAGCAATCTACAAGTACAGCATAATCCCTATCCAAATACTAAAAGCATTCTTTAATGAGATGGAAAAACTAAACATTATATGGAAAGGAAAGAGGCCCCAAATAAGTAAAGCATTATTGAAGAAGAAGAAGAACAAAGTAAGAAGCCTTGCACTATCAGACCTCGGAACCTACTGTACAGCTACGGTAATCAAAACAGCCTGGTACTGGTACAACGACAGATACATTGACCAGTGGAACAGATTCGAGAACACAGATGTAAATCCATCCGCCTATGGTCACCTGATCTTTGACAAAGACCCAAAGTCCATTAAATGGGGTAAAAAGAGTCTTTTTAATGAATGGTGCTGGCAAAACTAAATGTCCATCTGTAAAAAATTGAAACAGGACCCGTAACTCACGCCAGACATAAAAACTAACTCAAAATGGATCAAAGACCTAAGTATAAAACCCCAGACTATAAAGATCATGGAAGAAAAAATAGAGTCAATGCTAGGGCCCCTAATACATGGCATAAATAGGATATAAACCATAGCTAACAATACACAAACACCAGAAGGTAAGCTATATAACTGGGATCTTCTAAACATTAAACACTTATGCTCATCAAAAGACTTCACCAAAAGAGTAAAAAGAGAACCTACAGACTGGGAAAAAATTTTTGGCTATGGCAAATCCGATGAAGGTCTAGTCTCTAAAATCTGTAGGAAAATCCAACATCTCAACAACAAAAAGGCAAACAACCCAATTAAAAAATGGGCAAAGGATATGAACAGACACTTCACCAAAGAAGACATTCAGAGGGCTAACAGACACATGAGGAAATGCTTGTGATTACTAGCCATTATAGAAGTGCAAATCAAAACTGTAATGAGATACCATCTCACCCTGACATTACTGGTACAAATAAAAAAAAAACTGAAAATAAAAAAATGTTGGAGAGGCTGCGGGGAGATTGGAACTCTTACACATTGCTGGTGGGAATGCAAAATGGTATAACTATTTTGGAAAATTAATGGGGCTTCCTTAAAAAGCTAGAAATAGAAATACCATACAATCCAGCATTCCCACTCCTGGGAATATATCCTAGAGAAATAAGAGCTGTCACACGAATAGACATATGCACACCCATGTTCATTGCAGCATTAGTCACAATAGCAAAAAGATAAAAACAACCTAAGTCCCATCAACAGATGAATGGATAAACAATGGTACATAGACACAATGAAATACTATGCAACAATAAAAAACAGTGATGAATCTGCAAAGCATCTCACAACATGGATGAATCTGGAGGGCATTATACTGAGTGAAATAAGTCAGTCACAAAAGGACAAATACTGTATGAGACCACAACTATAAAAATTAATGAAAAGGTTTACACGCAAAAAGAAACAATCTTTGATGCTTAAGAGGGAGGGAAAAGGTGGCTAGGGAAAAACACTAACTAGACAATAGTAAGTGGTAACTTTTGTGAAGGGTAAGACAGTACACAAT